AGGGGGGGGGGGGGGGAGGGGGAGGCCTTAAAAATGCATAAAAATGTATCGTCGTCCTACGGTTTATGGCCAAGATTGTAGGAGCAGTTGCAAAAACTATAGGCCCTCTGGCAGAATTAAGCAACAACCGGACTCTGTAGCTCAGTTGGTTAGAACGCTGCACCGGAATTGCAGGATCGCAGGCCCGATTCCTGCGAGAGGGCCTATAGTTTGCTTTATGGACTTATGTGAAAAGAGTCAGTCAACGCTCTGACGAAAGTCGTGGGTTTTCCCCGGGTGCTCCGGTTTCCTCCCACAGAGAAAGTTGACAGGGTAGGTTAGGATAAACACAGTTAAGAAAGTAATATCACAATTGACCACTTGCGTAATAGACTAAATTTTGATCTCAAAAAAAATTTCATCACAGCTTGAAAGAGCATCACAAAATTAGTGATATTCCAAAGTTCCGTTGCGAAATGTTGTAAAATGCGGAAAATATGCCTTTCGAAATTTTCAATTTTCAGTCATTTTAGATTACAAACGGGAAATTGACAGCCCCAAACCCTTCGAGGCTGTCAATTTCCCGTTTGTAATCTAAAATGACTGAAAATTGAAAATTTCGAAAGGCTATATTTTCTGCATTTCACAACATTTCGCAACAAAACTTTGGAATATTACTAATTTTGTGATGCTCTTTCAAGCTGTGATGAAATTTTTGTCTAGACTTGTTTAAATCAAAATTTAGTCTATTACGCAAATGGTCAATTGTGGTAAAGATAAAATAATCTAGGCTCAGTATGTAATTAGGTAAGCATAATACTTGATGTAAAGCACATTTGATCATATCCGTAAAATGTTAAGAGGAGATTTTTTTGTATGTTACGTAACACGCGCTCGAAACTAATGCGTATAATATATCACTTGAGGTTATGACTAAATTCAAAAATTTTATTTTTCGATACGTTTCTCCATCGGCAAACAAACTTAAAAAGTATGTTTAATGCTTTATCTGAAAAATTATACTAAAATGAAGAGATTCTAGATGATACGCCAAAGAGAAAATGATGTCTGAAGTTCAGTAAGTTTTGCTTATATGGCTGTAAATTTGGCGTCAATTTTAAATCATCATTGATAATTGTTTTTTAATTGACATTTTTTAACTATTATTTTATGTTTCTCAACCGGCAGATGCATTTAAAAAGGTTGCTGACTCTATAAACTAGAGAATAAAGCTAAAACAAAGTAATTTTGAGAGGAACGCCAAAAAGATTTTAGGCTTTGAACACTTTTCATTGCAAATACGTGACAATGAAAAAAATTGCCTCGTAATCGTAAAAGTTGCATTTTTCGCAACTGCTCCTGGTACCAATTAATTCTATCGAGCATCTGAAATGTCCAAAATATTGATATTTATCCTAGCTTAATCCTATAGTCCTAAATAACAAAATATATATAAGAACAAGTCTCCTTACTTACCCACTGAGAACACCCAAAATAAGATTAAGTACAAAAAACGATCCCCAAATAATTAATGTTACAAAATAGATCCAAGGCCAAGCACTGCCTGATACATTATTAATCTGGAAAAGAACAGTATATAGTCAGGGCTCGAAGTAATAGACCAAAATTTTGTCTATACCTGAAATCACCTATTGAATTTTATATGCATTCACAAACGACATGCAGTTTCTCGCCTACCTGGGCTCATGTGAACAGGCCCAAAGTTGCCAATCAACTACACAGTATACTCACACTATACATAACGTCTGTCCAGCCCTCTAACGTGATACATTGAAACACCGTGAGACATGCCAAACCAATGTTATCAAAGTTAGTGATCCCGCTATTCGGCCCGTCCCAGGGCCCTTGACACACCTCGCCTATATTACAATGATAACCTGGACCGCTGGGCGAACAGGGCACTGGCTCATCTGATGACATGGTCACTAGATCAAATGTGAAAATTCATACATAGAGAATATTTTCACAGACAAGCAAAATCTGCGAATGTACGTACTTCGTTTCTTCGTAATACTTCACTGTGAATATTGTTACGGGTGCTAATGTATCGATCAATTCGAAACTTCGCCATCCCCCCCGGGTATACCCGGGATTTGACTTGAAGTCTTCTCCAGGGAGCAGGAAATTTGACGTTCTGGGTCTTCCATGTGGTGGGGCATTTGATAACGGGGTGGGGAATTTTGCCCGTTTTCGCGTGCTTCCTGCATGCACAGAAAATACTTCGCATTGGCGGCAAATACAGTTTTCTCAGATTTCGAGGGGAACGGCCTCAATTTTGTGAAAAACTGGCTCAAAGAAACGGGCATGGAAAATCTATGTGTTTCATTTGAAGGTGTGTACTACATAATTGTATAAAACTGTTAAATTTCCACAAGGTATCCAAACTTTTTACGCGAATTTCGCTATCTTGTCGAAAAACATTTCCGCATATTTTGTACTTTTTGTATTTACTGTTTCATAATTTTCATATGAAGGTGGGGCATTTGAACGCTTAATTTCTTGTTACAGTGGGGCATTTGAAGACATTTTTTGCACAGGGGGTGGAGAATTTGATCAGTCAAATTTCAAAAAGTTCAAATTCCCGGGGTCGGCCCGGGGGGGGGATGGTGAAGTTTCGAATTGATCGATACATAAATCGCCCCAATTTAAGAGCATGCGCTTTAGAAACTACTGGAAGTTTTCTTGCACTTCCGGTTCCGTGTTTCCCACGGCCGAGAGGTCCTGGGGACGAGAATGACAGGCCCCTGGACAATAAATGTTACTGTTATTAAATGCAGGCATTTCTCAAACCTTAAGTACAAATTTTATTTACAAAAACCCCACAATTTTCATCAAAACTCACTTACTTGTCGAATTATTATAACAAGTTTGGTGCATCTTGCCTAGGAATAATTCCAAGCCAATGATGGCATAAATTATAACTACGAACACGACAAGAAGAGCAATGTGGAACAGCGGAAGCATCGCTTTGAGAATCGAGTTCAACACGACCTGAAGACCTTAGAAAGAAAAATACCAGAAATTATAATAATTCAGTGAATTTGTATTTTTCATTCATTTTGTTGCATTTGTAGGTGTATGCTGTTTCAAATTAACAAGAGAATAGATTCTAACATAATGCAATAGAATAGAATGAAAAAGAACGTAGCAGAGTTTAGTAGAATGGAAGGGAATGGAATACAAATAATAACACAGGGTCTGATGCAAGTGCGGTGAAAAATAGAATGAAAGAATAGAATAAATAGGATGAAATAGTAAAGAACAAAATATAGTAAAGAGTAGAATAGAATGGTAGAGAATAGAATGGAACACAATAGAATGGAATAAAATGGAATAGGATATAGAATAGAAAAGGATAGAATAGAATAGTATAGAATAGAATAGAATAGAATAGAAAGGATAGAATAGAATAATAGAATAGAAAAGGACTGGAATAGACTGGAATAAAATAGACCAGAATAAACAGATAAAATGGAATGACTAACAAGATATTAAAACAAGGAATTGCATACTTGGTACTCCAGACACCAATCTTAATGGTCTCAGAACTCGAAATGCCCTCAAAGCTTTCACATTTCCCCATGTTGAACCCAGGGCGATCGTCATCAGACTAAAACAGATACGTCATCAATAGAATCTGTTTTCACTCAACATTCCCCTCTGTTTTCTCAACCAAGATACCCAAAATTTCGGGACCCCGTTATTGGAAATTAGGGAGCTTAAGATGAATCAAATCTGCGACGCGGACGTGACTAAAAAACAGTCGCTAATAATGGGAGACTAGCTTTACTTTGTTTTTCTCGTGTCCCTGGCTTTGCTTAAGGTGGAGTTACACGAACAACAAAATTGCAACAAAATCTGATTTCAACGCATGTTAAGTACAAATGTCGACACATGTTGCCTCGTGATTTGTCATTTATGTATAAACATTTTCAATTAACATGCGTTGAAATCAGATTTTGTTGCAAGTTGCAGCAATTTTGTTGCTCGTGTAACTCCAGCTTTACCAACAACAATCCATAGTTTTTACCCGTGAAGTGAAACTGTGATAATAGCGGCAGTTTTTCGTCACATCCGCGTAGTTCAGTCCCTGTCTGTATTGTTTCTAAATGATGTAACATTGTGTAATGGTTTGTGAAATCTTGTAAAATAAATAAATTAATTTAGAAAATAAGTCCATACCCAATAATAACAATAACAAAATCCAGGATATTCCATGGGTTCCTCAGATAGGCACCAGGATGAAATAGAAATCCATATGCAATTATTTTTAGAAATGATTCAATTGTAAAAATTGTCACGAAGAAATACTCTGCCATTTCCTAAAGAATCGTATTGTTAAAATACGGAGGGCTTAGTTCAAATGTTTTTACGCTGTGCCTATAGCGGGCACATTAGTCAATTAGCCTTTCTCACGAATGCGAAAATCCGCTATTTTGGGGGTACTGTCTGCCCTCGCGAAAGATTCTATCATTCTAGACAATTCAAACAACGTGAAAAGCGACTTTTAAAAATTGTAATTGTAAATTTACCATTATACAAAGTTGTATTTCGTGGTGCGGAGATTCTCAAACGTGAGAATAGAGGGAAAATCGGCCGTGAGAAAAGCTGTTCTCTCAATTGCTAATGTGTGAGTCTTTTGCGTGTTTTAAATTGTGAGGTACTGTAGTCTACTACCCACACGTAAAAAGGCGCAAGTTGTAACAAGACCAGATCTGCAAACAACTTGTGACAAGATTGTTGTCAAGCCAATATCAGAATGTGTTCGGACTGTTTGTTTCCAGTTGTTGTGACAGTTTGAAACAAGTTGTTATCACCTTGTTACGAGGTTGATAACGGCAGCAGACTTGCTACAAGTTTTTCCAACAAGGCTAATACAGGCTGTTCGTAACAAGTTGCTACGAGCAGATGTTGTAAACAATTTGTTACGTGCAGACGATATCAGACTTGTTGGAACAACTTTTTACGAGTCTGTTACTGGCCTCATCAATCTTGTTACAAGATGATAACAACTTCTTAGACTTATCAATAACTGGGAAGAAGCAATGTGAACACATCTTTCTGACAAGCTGTGCTCAAGATTTTTATGCGTATAAACGTGGTTTAGATAATTCAGAAGTAGTACAAGACTCTTCAATGTTGGCTACTTTAAGTGACCCTGATGACAATACAGATGTTGTAGATTAGATAAGCATAGTTTAGATCATGCAGAGCCGCAGAGGTAGCACAAGGTTTGTCACTGTTTGCCACTTAAATTAACCCATTGAGTTCTATTGCACCCTAATGCAACCTATACCTTATCATTTACTCTGTCTAATGCCAGACAATTTGACTTGTCAAGGGGAGAGCATAGGTCCCTAATGCTGTACAGTCAGAACTAATATGACAAGTCTGAACTGTCGTGCATACTAAATAAAATTCTAAGAAAAATTTTGCGGATAAAAGACCACACGGCTTTCCAGCTTCACAGCCCAATGTTACAGAACAGATTGTAGCCCTTGCTTGGGTGCTGGGCAACCACATTCCCAGACGGTGGAATGCAGGCCTGTTCAACACATATATATGTGTGGGCATAATACATAAAGTACAGGTATAATCTATAATTCATTGCAAAAACTCTGTGAGCCAGAAGTTGGCAGCAGACCCCACAAGTTGGGATGACAATAAGTATCATTTTAACCCCTTGAATCAACACAATGATACGATTAACATTGTCAGGCTGATTTCATCAAATGTGTCTTATCATTGAGACATTTGCAGCTTGCAGTAAAAAAATTGCTGCATTTATACTTATAGGATCTTATAAAATGATTATCAATGTAGACAAACCATACAACCTCAACAGATGATCCCTCTGTTTGTTGGGGTTTTTTTTGGGAGGGGGGCTCAGATTTAAGAAAATTCTTCAACATGGCCGGGGCAGGGCCTACCCTGGGTGCCAGAGGTTTTCAAGTTTTTAAAGGTCTTGAGACATTCTGAAGGCCATGTTACATTTAGGAATAATGATCTTGAGCAGCGTCGATGAAATGAATTTCGCTTTGTTGGTGAAGGGATACTAATTTATTAGAAAATTTTTAAATATTATTTCAATATTTTCAAATATTAGGTAAAAACTTAAAAGTCCTGAGGAATTCTTTAAAGCATTCATTTCTTTAAAAATATCCCTAAAGAGGTCCAAATTTCCTCAGTTCAATTAATTAAGGAAATTTCCTCAAAAGTGAGAATGCTGGACTCACACCTGATTCTCATTTTGCAATGTACATGTACAATTGCACCTATTTTTTTCCACCCGTGTCACATGATCATGAATTATGATCACTAAATTAAAATGATTTAGATTCACTTTCTAGTAGTCAAAGCTACTGATCTACTGTTTACTGAAGTTCAAATTATAAAGCCACAGGATTTCCCTTTAAAAATTTGTATACAGCATTGTAATTCGCTACAAACTTAGGAAATTTTTACAAAGAGATCAAGCCCCCTGTTGTCAGCACAGTGTGATTTGGGCTAATCCATTTCAACAGAAAATAAGTTAATAAAAGCTTCAAAAATATAAATAAAATGTTTTCATTTATATTCCTGTGTGTAAAATTTCAGAAAACCGCGCAAAGTTCAGCTAAAAACGTATACCATTTGAAAACCAAAACACATTTTGAAAAGCAATTTTGCGGAGATAACCATCTCTAAACGCTTGCTTTTAATTTAATGCCTGGTCATTGTATTCTTTTTAGCATGCAAAATCGCTTTAGGCTCAGCAGGGGATTTTATTTAAAACACTGTTTACATATACTCAACTGTCACTGTCACGCGCCGCCTCACAAATCATGAAAAAAACAGGACATTTAAATTCATAACTGGCAATAAAATGTTTCCAAAATTGACATTATAGCTTATTACAAATGCTAATGAAAACTTTTAAACGTAGCGTATAGAATCAACACAAAACGTATTAGAAATTTTATATAACTCAATATTATGTATATTCCCTGATATTTCCCGCGATTAGAACCCCGCGAAACAAATCATTTGTAGCAATTTGTGAATTTTTACTGTGTATTATTTCGTAATTTGTTTTACGGTGAAACCGCAGTCTTTGTATTGATGAGCCATTATTATAAAACCGCGCTGGAAATTACTTTATTCTGCCATTTGACGGATGATACAATTACATTGTTATGGTTTAGAGAGGCCCAGGGAAAAACCAAACTGGCACAATCTTTCAACAAATACGCTAAAATTGTTTTAATTTTCACTCTCGGCTGAGAATGGATTTTTCAAGCGTGTCACTGACAGATTACGAACAGCTGATATCTAATTTATTCCCAACAAATGCACACAATAAATCAGTGCTGATTTATCACTAGCAAACAAATAAAACCCCTAGGCTTACTCAGCTGCCAGAAACCCCTCGAAATCTCTTCATATTTCAAAAGCATTAGGGATTTATAGCCGGCTATTAGGATTAAATCTGTTTAAATGCTTACCAAATTATCATTGATCGTGCTACTGTCTTCTCGGGGTAAAGGTTGATATGCAGCCAATGCAGCACAATTCGCAAAAATTGTTATCAAAATGAGAATATCAAAAGGCTTGAAAATGAGTTAAGGTCACAAACTGGTACAAGTTACAAGAGTATGTTGTATTTAAAGTAAACACCGCAGTATTATAGATAAAGCAGGTCGGAATTTTCAAGCACACTTGACCAAAGACTCGAAGTACTTTAATGCTATAAAAGTATAATGACAGCTATTTTCGTGGGGGGAAATCCTGAGTCTTAAAGACTACTTTAAAGTAAATGCAGCAATACAACATAAAGCCGGTCGGCAAATTTGTAAATGTTAAGTGTACTTTTAAATTCCATACAAGCATCGACATATGACAGTTCGCTTATTTCCCCATGCGAAATCTGGCGTTATAAAAAGATACTTTCCATTCCACGATATTTATTGCATAATGTCTTAAAGGATGGTGTAGTTCCAAGCAGAGTAAAGCTCTTCTCGGCCTGACAGATGAAACAGCTGTCGATTTCTTAGGCCGTCTACTCGGAGTTCGTTGTGGCGAGGCTCCACCATGCTCCATGTTCAGCCATGGCACTTTGGCACTTGTGGATATGCCTCCTGAAATATTTTAGAATTAAAACAAACAATAAAAATAAAGGCATATAAAACTCTCTACATAAGCCTACTTATAACAAGTATATCCCAGACAGATTATAGTATTACGGTGCCATGTTGCAGCAGGCAAGACACAACTTTAACACACACATGTACATGTGAAATGGTTTCGCAAAAATATCGCTATAAATTTGGCAATAAATAACATAAACACAAACCGTTTGTGGCCATTATTCTATGACAGCTTAACCCATCGCTAAATATTGTCTGCTCTTGTCAAAATTAAAAACATTTGTTGATTTTCAACTCCTAACGCGGGTATATCGTCCTGACACAGCAGGATTCTATCTGTTTCAGTGGAAATCAAAAATTTTCACGACCCCGCGTGAAACGGGATTGTTTTCTTTGGCTGCTGTGCAAATATTTGCCGACTCGCATGCAGAAAACGTCTTGGATAAAAGTTCGTACCATGGTTTCGTCTCCGATACTATCGGATAAGAGACCCTCCTCCCTTTCTTCTCCCGCCCGCACTAAACGCCTGCTACGCAGGCTATCTCGAAGACAGACGGACAAACCTGTGGACAAACAGACAAAGTACATAAAGATGATAAAGACCACCGAGCCACAGAATAAGAAGGTACAGCAGAAGTGTAACTCAAGCAAGTATTTGTCCACGTTTTTACAAGCGATTCGTCATCAATCACGCCATCCTGGCTAGTACAACCGGCACTTTGTACCTACCAAAACCTGATAAAAACTTCCGGTTGTACCAGCCAGGATGGCATGAGCGAGTTAAAATTTTCTTTGATGTAAAACAATAAGGGAACCGACTTGAGTTACACTTCTGCTGAACCTTCTTATTCTTGTGACCGAGCTGTGTAATAACTAGAGATTCGGCTTTTCTCTCGTCAGTCGAGGTTTAATAGGATAGGGGCTGGGTGGGCACAATCAATCTGATATACTATAAAGAGGGCAATGGCAATCTCGTACCCAGAGTATGTCCATTCGCAAGTTAGGCATACTCTGGGTTACCCCTGTTCTTGTGTTGTACCGCTGAATGAAAATGACTGAACAATTCTTGTTCCGTTGAATGTAGAAAATATTTTCCATATTCTCTTCAAATGACGTCTCATAAACTCAGAGCCTGGGAACAAGGTTGAAACATAACATAATGACTTATTTTTAGTTTCCAGATGGTCCCCAGTGACGTACAATGTCACGTTGGACGTTACCACCTGCCAGCACCTTGGAACAAAATGGAAAAAAATCTGAACTTTATCACTTTTATCCCTAAAGGTCCTACATTATTCCAATTTATCCTTCATTTGAATCCCTAAATGTCCCGGTAATATATCTTACATTTTGTTTTATCCCATAATGTCCCAGAAAACCAACATTTGTACACATACTGTATTTAAATGTGCAAAATCTCATAAACAAGACAAACATAACAACTTTTTATAGTAAAAGTTGTCAAAATTTTATATTTTTAATTTAGTTTTAGGGTAGTTATATAATTCGAATAAATGGAGGGAGCTGCAGCAAATAAATTAGTTGATCAAGAACTGAAAATAAATCTGGCAGCATTGAGAAAAAGCGATCGATTTGTTCTTGACATCTTGGAGACTTCAGCTCAGGTTGCGCTCTATAAATTTGATCCAGTGAAACAAGAATGGGTAAGCAATTATATTTAGTGTTGCAGAGTGATGCAAAAAGATGATGTAGTGGTTTAATGATAGACTATATATATATATATGGAATAGAGTAGTAATAATGCATTAAAGACTCCCCCCTTGTCAAGTAAAATTGTCTGGTGTCATGGACAGAATAAAATAAAGTCAGGAGCATTTTGATAATTGCAACTTAATGGGTTAACAAGACACATATTGGCAAATACTGTCGCTTGTAACTACGGATGAACGGTTGCATGACAATTTGCATAGGCAGCCCACTAAACGACTGAATTTAAATTAAAACTGCAGTGAAATTATAAAATTTAACGAACATAATCAAAAATTAGTGAAATATATTGCGAAATGTAGCTTATATTAAATCGCCACTCGATTGCACTATCGGTGAACTGACGTATACAGAGTATACCTTGGTATACTTCACGGATAATAGCATATTTCTTTTTTCCATGGGTGTTTGGAATCACTTGTGGTTTTAGCAGAGATTTTGCCGAAAACCGTGTGATTTGGAGACTTAATCATGAGATCGTGAGAAAGCATGAAAAATTGTGAGTTTCACGATTAAATCGTGAGACTTGGCAGGTCTGGCTTGAATGTAAGATAACCGACACTTATATGCCTTATGCTCATTTACAGGAAAAAACTGAAGTAGAAGGAAGTCTGTTTCTATATAGAAGGTATTGATACTGGTATACCTGTACTACATGATTGACTCTCCCATCAATTTTCATGAACAAGTGCCAACAATTATTTCAGTTATGATTGACGGCCATCATCTCAAAGACATCAAAAATATATGTTTTATTCAGGTCAACATTACCAAAATTTGCACTGATGATAATGAATAGATTGAACCGAGAAAACCTCAACGAAACTATCACAAAAGAAATGGAATTCAAAGTTCAGAAACCATTTCTGCTGTACAAGAACTCATCGAGTATGTTAATTTATGATTATTAGCATAATAGTATTGCCAGAGGCAGTAGATTGCAGGGACGTGCTGGCTAGCTAGGGACAAGCTGACGAGAACTTGTTGTGGGCCCCTGCCATCATATGGGCCCCTAAAATTAAAAAATTGGAAATGATAAAAAATATAGATTTTAATTTTGAAAATTTCGATTAAGATATTACAATTTATATTTTAAAAACGTAAAGTTGCGAAAATATTACCGAAAATTTTTTGTGAAAAAAACATAAATTAGTGACTGAAATGTTTCATGTTGGAACAGTAATACCCCCCACCCCAATCTTGATCAATCCATCACTGGGCCTGGGCCCCATCGAACACTGCTCATTCGTCGTCCTTTTCAAGACCCCAGCACGTCCCGGGTAGACTGGCCAGTTGAAACAAACAAAGTCATTCTCCTTTCAATTACTTTTAGTGGATATTTTGGGTATTTGGTTCAATAATACAGAAAAATGTTCAAAAGTTGGTGAACAGATCACAAGGTACAAAGTGTTGAGAGTTTCCCGGGGTTAGTAAGGTATAGGCAGGGCTTGAAATAACATTCCCAAAGTTCCCGATCATGATGACTGGGGGACCCTCAGTGTTATCAATTACAAACTAGCTTAGCAGAAAGTGGCAACATGCTAACAACACCAGAATGTAATTTGTGTAAAATATTAATAGTTATAATATATTTTATGCTGTAAATTTTAGACTTTATGCGTCACCACCACCTCCACAATTGAAGGTAAAGAATTATGTGCAAAAACATGGAACCCATCTTCCAACCATATCATGCAGGAACCCATCTTCTAACCATAAATAGTCATAATAGTACCGTACCATACATAAAAAGAAATATCTGTACTCATTTTTTAAAATTTATTTTTTATTAACTTTACAATCATATTATATAAAAAATACGCAATATGAGTGAGGGATATGGACAACAGAACTAGAATCCCATACAAAGTCCATCCATCTAACACTAAAACACGACATATTACGGACTACAATGTGGACAACGTAATACTGACTTTACAGGCCTTTACACTATATAAAACATGCAAGAATAAATACTGCACTTATTTGCGAGGTTCACATTTGACTCCCACCACCACCAATAGTGAGGTTAAGATTGACGTTTACCACAGACCAGTATCCCAGGAAATTCCCCCCCCCCCTTCGGAAATTTGGCCCCCTTGAAAACATAGTTTACTTTATCGCTATAAGCTCGGAAATCGTGAAGCTCTTCTAAAACCAAGATGCTAAAAGTGTTTGTCAGTATTTATAGTTAGTTTGCATAATTTATTTGTGTCGAAATTCTTCATTGCGGCCAAGAGCTAAAAGTTTGAAGGAAAGCGTAATAATTTGAGATCAACTGTAAGCTGTTCGAAGTTAGGACAATTTGTGCATTGAAATTAAAGAATGAATTGACTAAAAACCTGTCGAAACCTTCGGAAACTTGTAGAACTTACCTTCAAATGCGAATTGAAATTTCCCGTTTGCGGTTACCGGAAAACGTCAATCTTAAGTCTCTTAACCTCCCTCATATTAACCCTTTGAGCTCCTGAGTACTCTCCCCTTTAATGCACAAGACTCACATTGATGAGTAAATGTAAATCGTCTGGTGTTAGACAGAATAAAACAATGAAGTAGGGACTAGGGTGCATTACAGCTTAGTGGGATAATGCAGTTTGTATACTGTATATTCTTCAGACTGAAGAAAAAGGTCCAAGTATTTTGGAACTATTTGCAAGTGCACAAAGAAAATATGATGACGAAAATAAGGTTAGGTCTAGTACCAATGTTTTATATCTTAACTTACCAATCACTAATGAACTATATAATTATCAAATGAATGAATGAAAAAGCAAAGATTGAGACAAATAATATATATAACATAAAAGTTCGATCTGCTTAGGTATATGAAAATGGTGTTGGCGATTCATCCTCATCATCTCAGCCACAAAATATTCACAGAAATGGCGAGAAGACACGATCCATGTCATTGACTGCAGTTCCTCCAACACGTTCATCTCCGTCATGCCTTCTCCCTGCTGCCGTTGAAAACGAAGAGACGCAATCTCAAGCACTTCGTGACCCCTGCATTGTGAAGAGTTCTCCATTACGACCTTCGCCAAACCTTCTGTCTCGTTCGCTGCCAAACAATGCAAAGAAGACAACCCAAAGACAGGTAAATGTTTGGGATTTATCCAGTTATCCTTGGTTAGTTGGTTATGTATAATCAGAATTTATGCAGGTTGCCAGCCTCCCGATACAAAAATTGAGGACTGTTATTCAAATCAAGGACTAAAGTCTAAAATGAATTTTTTCAAGAACTTTTCAAGCACCCTTGAAATTGATTTTGAATTTAGGCACTTTTTAAGAAGCTCAAGACCTGCACGAACCCTAATCCTACATATAGTTGTATATGAATAGATTATATATTGTAGATAGAAGGTGTAAATGCTATTGCCCATATCCTATATGTGTACGTAGTACCCTGTTAACACAAGTTTTCATCAGTACTCATGATCAGTATACGACTTAACCTGACGTTCGAATTAACTTGAAAATATTACGTCACATTGCGTCATTATGTTTGCCTCTCTAATTATGTAACCATAGTTTATAGAGTTAACTATGTAACATGCCCCTATATGTAACATCACGTTACCACCCCTGCTAAGAGGCCTGCGGAGGAGGCTACTTTTGGTGTATGTAATTTAGAGCCCTCTAATTCAGCTGCATTGTGATTGGCTGCTTTGGGGGCCATGGCAACACATCTTCTTAGGGCCAGCCTTAGAGTTCACTGGGGCCAGCTTTCTCCGCTGGCTTTCTCTGATAATCGCTTGTTATAGCCTGCAATCTCGTTCCCAGAGTATGCCTGTTCGCGGGTTAGGCACAGCCTCGTCCCTGGCGCTGCCTTTGATGTGCTTACTGGTTGCGTGACGCACGCGCGGGAATCGAGGTGCGTTGCTCACTACCTTTCCCCCCACGCGTGTCCTCCCGCGCGCGCGTCACGCAAACATCAAAGCGCCGGGGACGAGGCTGGGTTAGGCATACTCAGGGAACGAGATTGGTTAGCCTGCGAACAGAGAGTTCAAAGAGAGCCTGTTCGCAGGCTAATCGCTGGTTGTTTTATAGTACATTGAAATTGTATGATAGAAATCTTAGTTTTCCTGAAAATTTCAAGCCGAAATTAGCTGTTTTAGTATCATAAAGATTTGTTTTGTTATTTTGAATCGTAATATGAAATAATAAATGGGAAATATTAGGAACAGAAAGAGAAAAAAGGCTAGAAAACCGCCATCAAAGAAGTCGAAAATTTTCAAACATGGCGAACCTTGTGTGAACAACTTAACTGGACCTTCTGGAGCCATAATTGACACGCAGAAAGAATCGTTTGTGAGTAATTCTGCAAATGTCGACACTGTTAAGAAAGGAGCAATATTTATGGACTTATCCATACCAGGGATGGATTTGCCCTAGCCGGCCAGAGGGGGTGCAGGGGGGAGTGCTATTTTTCATGTTAAAGCAAAAAATTATTAGAGACAGAATGAGATACAGTAATTTGAGTAATAACATGATGATAAGTGAACTGTGAACAACAATTACAATTCAAATACAGTAGTCAAGCAAGACTTTGCAGTAGTGAAGCAAGTTGATGGGCGGGCGGCACACATGACCGACACAACTCGGCACCAAAGCTGGCGGAGCACCCCCCCCCCCCACCAGATCATGCTGGATCCATCCCTGATCCATACTATTCTATTTTCTGTCTTTGATGACATTTTAAGATGTTCAAGAGTGTGTATTTCATAATTTCCATTGCATCCCCCCTCCCCCCACTGGGCACAATAGGGGCATTTGCCATTCGTAATTTTCCCCAGGGGCTGGCATTTGTTGTTGAGAAAGTTTAAAGTGATGGGGCATTTGATTCCATTTTACACAATGACGACAGGGATTTGACCACAACTAAAAAACTTTTTGTTTACCTAACATCACAGAATACTACACAGAAGTCCATCTCCATTGCTTTTTGCATAAGCTCTATTTGTCATGATTCGTCACTTAGCAAGTACCGTACACAGAAGCAGTCACCCCCTAGACGTGCGCCATTTTTAGTATTTCCAGGGGGGGGGGGGCTGCTTCTGTTTACGGTACTTGCTGAGTGACGAACCATGAATGAATAGAGCTTATGTAAAAAGCAATGGAGATGGACTTCTGTGTAGTATTCTGTGCCTAACATGAAGATTATTATAGATAGACTTGTTTCCCGCTGACACAAGAAACCACAGGCTTTAACGTGTCAATCAAAAGCACATCTTTTGCTTTTGGGTTTTCAAGAAAATGGCAAAATTTTTATTATGAACGATTTTCAAAGTCGAAATGTGAATTTGCAGAAAAAATATAATGGATATAAATAACAATTACTAGACACTTTTAAACAAAATTTTATGTGTATCTTTTTATGTTGATCACCTATAGTTATTTACCCAAGAAGTTCCACCTACAGTACCAAATCAGTTTCCAAGCGAAAAATTTCCGTTCCCATCTGCACCTTCCCAGAATGCATCATCTACCAAAATTGCTTCAAGTAAACCAGTTGTGACAAAGCAAAGATCAAGTACTGACCTGAGTACTGGAGCCACTCCTCTTATGTCTCCGATGGCATTTAAAACTACCAAAAGTCAATCGAATGCTCCAAAAGATACAAACGTCGAGACGCCAGTGTTGACTAAAGAACAGCTGCAAGAAACCCTGATTGCTCTTCTAGAGGTAGGTCACTGAAGATGAACATGGTGATGAAGGTGGTGATGAAGATGGTAAATGTGTGATGAAATGGTGAATGTGTGATGAAGATGGTGAATGTGTGATGAAGATGGTGAATATGGTGATGATATGGTAAATGTGTGATAAAGATGGTGATGAAAATGGCAAATGTGATGAAAACGGCAAATGTGGTGATAACGTGAATTGGTGGTGAACCTGTTGATGTATATCACGAATGTAGAGATGATATTGCCAAATGGAGAGATCCATATCTGATAATATAGTAAATGTGCTTGTCTTGACAATTGAAAATAATAATGAATGAAATACAACATATTATAATGTAGTAATAGAACAGATTTTTGGTTTCAAAACATTTACAATTTATATTCTTCTTTGTTTCCAGAGAGATTCAGATTTCATAGACAAGATTCATTCAGCTTATTTGAAGAACATCAACAGATGAAAAACAAAAAGAACCCTTTATATCAAAGTGTTTGCAAAAGAAAGATGAATTTAAGAATGTTAAGTTCAGCCTGGACCCTGGTTATGACAGGATGACGGAGACCGACCTTGCAGCAATGCTGTACTACTACGTTGCCAGCTTGGACTATCCTTTAGTTTACAATTTAGAGCCTGGAACAGTACGTTTATTGGTTTGTAAATTGTAAGATAGGGTTAGAATAGTAAAAATGATAACAGCATATTCACCACATCACCAATAACATGTCAAAAATTTAATTTAATTTTTTATTATAAACAATTTATATTGTAGGACAGTTATCAAACGGTTATATCTAAGTAGTGCTAACAATTCAGCTACGTTCATACAAAACTGTATAAATTTGGAACCACACACAAATTTATTTGTTTCAACTTATGTTTGTGATGTTGTCTCAAAGTGACTAGCAAACCAAAAGGTTGCGGGTTCGATGCCCACCGTGGTCAAGCAAATGTTTCAGCTTGCCTGGTGTGAACACACCCGGAGACCACATCAAAAACATATATCTTCACCTGACTGAATAACACCAGAAATAGAAAAAATTGTTTCCACTTGTTCATGCAGGAATTCACTTGTAATGCTGTGCTCAAATTTATCCAGTTTCACACAAAGCCAAACCGTACAAATTTGAGTACAATGAATGATAATGAATCTTACAGTAAACATGATGTTGTTAATGTAGCATGAATGATAGAGCCAAAATGACAGATGTGTGAATGTCAGATGTGTGAATGTAGCAAGCAACCCAAGTGTTTTATATAGTATTTAAAATATGTTTTACTGTAATGATCCTGAATCTACACTTTTTAATTGGCCTTCCTTACTCTCACCAGACCCTTACCCTCACAGGTTGGGTTGCCAATTTAGTACATATGTATCAGCAACTAAGAGAGGGGGGAGAGGAGTCAAAATTGTTCTGTCTTGTATATGCCTATTGTTAACTAACCTCATTTCGGTTGTCGTTTGTGTACAAGATCTATCGGATAGAAATCAGTAACCATTTTGTTTGTACGTAATTTGTAAATTTTATGCAGCTCAGCCACAGTAGGCTGCAACGTAAAATTCTATTAAATGCTGATTGGCTAAGAGCTGTGTTGATATAACTTAATATCAACATGGACAATTTCTTTCTTTCTTTTCCCAATTCCCACAGGTGTTGATATAACAGAAAAATGTTTTATATTTGACAAATATGTGTGTGGAAATTGGGAAAACGACTAAATGAGAAATTTTGTCACAATTTCGAGTGTTGCACAAAGAAATATAAAGAAATTTTCCAACATTTCTGTGTTGACATTGAGTTATATCAACACGGCTCTTAGCCACATCGTGTTCAGAATTAACAAATTCTATATTATAATTGTGAAATATTAAATACAAGCGTTAAAATGAATGACTTTATGTGTGAAAGCTGCAAAATAATATTTACAAAGATATATATATAACAAATGTACACTAGCAAAATGTTAATTCAACATAACCATTGTCGACAGTTAGCAGACTTACACTGACATTTCATACGCCTGCTCGACGGTTTTGGTGGACTTTCGTTATTCCCAGTCATGAGGTAATCAAACGTCAGCTCTTCGCCAGGCTGGATATCACGGGTGGCAAACAGGGCAATGTGGGGTAGGTGGGGATCTACAATGTCTATCCATACACCATAGACAACTAAGTTTGGATCACACTGAAAATTTAGAAATTGTTTTCTTAGGGATGAGCTGGTCACACAATGAGAATGGAGTTTTTCAGAAACTTAATAGCACTATTGACGAGAGGCGATATAAGGCGAGACTTTTTTTATTCATTGGTTTACGGATCCGCCAACCGTAAATATTCAGAAAGTGAAAATAAAATAAAAATTTGATGTCAAAAATTTTACAATTTTAGTTAATTTTAATTAATTTGGGGACAGCAAGTACACTTCAAGTAAACTTTGACTCTCAGTACTGATGGCTCATGTTATCATTGTGACAATCAGTATGGAGATTAGCCACGTTTTTTGCGTTTTTTCTTTTAATTTTAAAAATCTTTAAACGTTAAAAAGTGATAAAGATTATTAATTTTGGTTCTCATTTATACTCAGTTTGTTTGCTTTTTTAAATTTTTTTCCGACCTACTGACCTCTTATTTTTGAAGTCAAATCCATAAACCAATAAATAAAAAAAGTCTTGCCTAAAGAGAACTTACTGAATGGTTGACAAAATGAGCCACATTTCCATAATGATATGCATCAATCGTATACAGGCACTCTCCCTCATTATAATCCAAGTCAAACAGATAAGTTTGACCCATTTTATCATACTTTTGTCCTCTAATCTCAGCATCCTCGGTCGTTAGGATCTCACCAACATATTCGGTAACAAACTCGTTGGCACGAATGTAATCTAATGTTTTTAGACCCCAGCCTTTTTTCTTTGTTCGAAATATGCAAACCTGTAAAAGGTAAAATCGTTTAGCATTAAACCATTAATTAAGATACATTGGTAAAGATATTATTTTACTGTCTAACACCAGATGATTTTACTTGTCAAGGGGAGTGTGTTGGTGAAAATGGGTTAATCAGACTATCACCCTAGTTATCACTAAAAATTTTCAGAATGTCAATAACCCCTGGGTATGCCCGCACTCCCTCCGTTGGGAGAAAATAGTGACAAGTGCATTTGGATAGACAATTTTTCTATCCACACATCTGCAGCTGTTCATCCTTTTGTCATAGCCGTATCGGCCGGGGGGGGGGCACATATTTCAAATACAAGTATAGTTAATAGCAGGTTTGCTCAGAATGCAGGAAATGGCATTTCCGGGCTTCAAATTTCAAACATTTTCTGGGGGAGCGGTATGCCCCCACACACATGCCCTTCGGCCATTGCTATCCCTGTCTAATAAGTAATGATAAATTATGGTTAATATTTTTTTACTTTTTGTATGTTTTTTCCTTCTCTTATTTCAAGCAAATTTTAGAGCAAATTTGGATGCTCAGAATGCAGGAATTTGCATTACCGGACTTCAAATTTCAAAAATCTTCTGGGGGAGCATGTCCCCAGACCCCCCCTAGGGATTCATTCGTAGTATGTCGGCCACATGGCTATCCCCCACTAAATATATATTATGTCACAGAAAGGTCCATTTTTTAAGGATTTCCCCCCCCCCCACGGGAAAATCCTTAAAAAAGGCCCTGATAAAATCTCGAACAAAATTTTATATGTGTACTGTGTAAGCAAAATGGTCGGGCAAACTAATACTGTGCCCCCCCCCACCAAACAAGATTAGGCCTGTACGCCCATGCCTTTTGTTGCAACAGACAGAATCTGAGTGCCCGGCAGTCAAACTTACCCTAACTCCCCGACCACGTTGCACAACCCTATTCCGACAGTTCTTCCGGCAGGGGCACTTCATGTTACACTCGTAAATAGGTCGTCTTCTTGCAAGGGTAACTCTGCCATACTCGTCATAGGCAAATTCGCCACCAGAGTAAACTGGACAGCTACAATTTTTTTCTGTACACCTATCTTTGCAATCACAGGCAACTATATACTCCGGATCTGGCCAGAGCTTTACACCAGCACCTGGAATATTCCTACACGTATACTTAAACTGTTCAGGAAACTTTTCAAAATCGACACGGTTTTCTAAACTGATGTATGGTTCCCCTCCAGCAGAAATGTTTATTTGTCGTTCTATCTCTTGCAGCCTCTGGTTGTACTCTTTTCGCTTTCCATTACATTTTGGTTTTATGTCTGTTTTATAAATTTGGCTATGAAGTTTTCTGAGTTCTTCTAACGGCGATAATTCAATGCGTAAAACCGGAGTTAATCTGTTTCCCTCCCGGCTCTTCAAAGCCGCCATGTTGCATTGTTGAAAAGCGCGCGTGGATCAAAATCACATTTCGAATTCCTTTTTCTATTATCAAATTTTCCTTATTTTTACCGTCGCTTGCATCTAACAATGAACAGTCACAGATAATAAGATTGTCTTCTTGTCCATAAACTACGAAGTGCATTTGACAAACTAAAAACTGACTAGCAACTAGTCTATAAAGACCTGTATAGCAGTTTGTATGCGTTTCATTTAGCACATGTAATCTTAACTGTTTTATTTTTAGGGTAAAATATTAAACCATAGTCCACAAACTAAACCTAATCATCCATTATAGGTTGGAACTTGCATCACGTTGTCTTGCTAGAGGTAATTGAAAGCTTCAAATGCTCGTTTACAACAATTACAGTAAATTTCCAGTCAATATCGATGTTATCGTTTGTTGACTGTTTTCTTTAGAAATGAATGCAGATTGTTTACAGAGGTACATATGTGTATGTTAGATTGGTTCTTTGTTCGTTTGTCTGTCTTTGTCTTTCAGTTTCAATGTTTTATTTCTTTGTTTGTTTGTTTGTCTGTTTTTAAAAGGTCTGTTTGTTTCTTTGTTTCTTGCTCTGTACCAAAAATTCCTTTCTAACTATATTAAAATTCCTGTAATTTTCCTTTACAACAAAATTTCCTTTGTCCTTGTCCTCAGGACTTTTTATGTGCGCGGTTCATTTTCCAAAATCCAAGATGGCGAATTTGTTGTTTCGCCAATTTCGACTAGCAAGAAGGTTACAGCCTGTTTTTGCGAGAAATAAAAGATGTATGAGTATATTTACAAACGAAAGAGAACCTCCAAATGGATTTCTGTTTAATGAAAAGGCAAGACACTTTGTAAATAGCATAGAATTCTACATTTTTATGCATAAAATGTACGTATTAAAGTACGTTTTGTACAAATATTTTACAACTTTCTTATTTGCCTTTAGCCACGCCTAAATGGTGAAAAACGACAATGGGAAGAATGGGAGGCGATATGGTATCGATGGTGGATTGTTTCAATTCTCATACTTGGTTTAGGCTTTTATTATAGACCCGATACATCGTAAGTTGACGAATGGTTGATGATTCCAGGTTTTGTCAGAATATTGAGTGCAGTTGTCATGTAGGCGTCATAAAATGGTGTATAATGACGTAATTGGATTATAAAGATTGAAAAACTATCACAGTTAAGATTTGGATTGGGTTTAGATTTAGGATTAAAGTTGCAATTAGGATTAAGGATTAGGATAGGATTAAGATTAAAGTTCAAGGGAAAAGACTATGGATTAGCTTTAGGAGTAAGATTAGGATTAAGAGGTTTAGAATTAAGGATGGTGCATTAATTATCAACATTGTTTGGTAAACTAGCCTTGCTAATTTCCAGGATAAGTCTAGGGTCCTGGAAACCTCTGGCAGAGGCTTTATAATAACTGTTCTTTTATCAGGTTGGGTACCTGGGCACGTCAAGAAGCTCTCAAACAAATCGAAGAAAAAGACGCAGCCGAATCATCAAGTTAAAAGATATGGAAAGGATATTAACATTTTTGAACAGCTATTTTTATAACAAGCTAACATATTTAATTAGGCAACGTGAATTTGTCAAAACTGAGTGGAAATTGCTTGTGAAATATACCATGTTTAGACTTAAATATATGTTTATTAAACAAGAGTTGTTTAATGGTTATTATTGAACTTAAAATCAGGCTACTCTATGAAGATTTTCAAGCCTAGGAATGAAAACGAAAATAGTTTTGATTTCCCAATGTCACCGGTGCTAATTGGATCACATTCCCACTGTCTCCGTGTCTCAGAGAAAAGGAAAAATGCGCAGAGATTCCTGCAGTCAGAAAGCGTTTTTGTCAAACAAGACGATCAGAAATCTGCTTGGTTCTTGGTTCACGAAAGGTATTTTCTGCCAAGATATTTTTCTGAAATTATTTGCCGCTTTTTACAATTTGTGGAATTTTGCGCAGATTTTATTAATGCAAGATTTTTTGCACAGGAAATTAATTTCCTCTAAAGCCAAAACTTTACAGTCTGGTCCGTGTCTACTAAGTACAATATGTCAGGGGGCGGATGAAGCAACAGTTAATGAACGTATTACACATGGCGCATTAAATTCCTTTGAAATTACTGTTCACTAAATAACTTCAAAAATTCAAAATGAGTGCCCTACTACTCTGTTAAAACAGTTTCTTGTAAAAACTAAGCTTGTGTCAGCCTGAATTTTTGCAAGTGAACTTCAAAAACGCTTTCGTTGAGACACAGATGTTTTGTTTCACTCGAGACTGATTTTGCAAACCGATATAAAATCGCTCAAAAAAGATTAAACGGCTGTATTTATTACATGCGAGTGGGAGGGATAATCCGCATTTTGTCAAACGTTTAGTTAAGCTATGCATCTACAAAGATTTTACCATGCTTTTGTCGTTTAAGCAACATTTCTGTGCTTGCAACTTTCATGCAACATTTGTGACATATTTCATTATTCTGCATGACAAATTATGCACGGTGTGTGCACAAAATTGCACGATTTCCAACCGAAAAAGCAGCATGATATAGATATATATTACTGTGTATTCTCAGTATTCTCAACGGGCACGGCAGTAGCAATAATATATACCTTAATTTATCGGCAAGAATATATACCAAATTTTATGGGGAAAAAATGACCTTCTCACTTCGAGACACTTTGAATTGAATAGGATTAAGTGGTCACATTTTTGCCAGTTTGGTTAAACAGATGTAGTATACGAGATTATTAACAGACGATATCTGTTTAAACTACATATTTTGCAGTTGTATGCAATTGAAAATAAGACATGACTTATCACGACTGGAACGTTCCACTTAATACAATTCACACAACATGTCAACTTTTTTATTCAAGACAGCATGAATTGTCAAATATATTAAAACAATCACTTGCCCCCGCCTAGAAGCAAAATTAATTTTGCTTTCGTATGTTTGCTTTAAAGCTCAGCGTGTTGGCCGAGTCCTTTGTAATGTGTCTCCATTTTCAGACGCCTTTCTAGCCGTTTAATAAACTTCTGATACAATAAACGGCCGTTTGTGCTTCTTTTCCGCGTTTGGCGGAAGGAAGTGTCTTGCGTAGCAAAAATATGGATGAACAAAACGGGACTATTGAAGTCACAGATGGCAAAGGGGAAAAGAAACGAAAATCCAAGCGGTAAGCCGTTGATTTATGATATTTATCTTGTTAGCAGTATGCGTGGTGGTTAATAGCTTGTTTTCGGTTGAGTATTTTATGTGGTGGCCAATGTAGCTAAATGAAACTTTATACATGATGGCAATGCCAATTGGTGCAAGCAATTCGGCTGAATAATTCGATGACATATACTAGCAAACACTATAGGTCAATTTGTCACTTTGATAATTGTCTTTCCTATTTTTCGGGTTCACCACTACGTGTTGCAACTGTCACACTGTGTCGAACCCAGCTAGTATATCGATCGCAATCATTTGGTTCTTTTGAACGGGCTTAAATATACTTGTTCCTAAAATTGAGAGGTAATAACGCAGTTATTTCCCGTATCGGCACTACATCTGCTACTTTGTAATCAAAATATTTGTTTTTAAAACATCAAAATATTTGAGTGTTTTTAAAACATCAGTTTGTTGAAATTTTGTCGAAATTTGCGTGGAAATGAGCTTCAAACCTATTTTGGGAAAGGTATACTGTATATATACAGTCAGTGGGATTAAAAAATTGGCTAGGACGTAACGTTTTTACCAAAGGTCTTTTATACCTCATAACACTGTATGTAATGTTTCAATTTGGAATATATACGTTACAATTACATTTCGAAAAGTGTTACACGTCTCATAAATGGTTAAGAACATGACTGTTATCTAACATAAAATTCTAAAACAGTTTTATATTGGTTAAGTTGTCTGGATAAAAAACAAAATTAATAAAAATGACAAATTTACCCATAAATTAAAACATTTACTTTAAGAATACATTAAGGAATTACTTGGTCTTTGACCTGGCCAACCTATACTTGCAACATCAGAACAACATGCATCAAAACATAAGTTATAATTCACCTAGTTTCAGATACGTTTCGTATAACAAAGTTTTATTATGTTTACTTTTGCGGAATTTCTCAACAAAGGCACTTACAGTAATCCCATTTGTTTTAGCCAATGTCTGCTCGTTATTAAGACGAAAGTTTGTTTTGTATGGCATTCCAGACGGCGCTTGTTTGCAATATATATCGTTTGTTTTCATAGCTATTCACAAAATTTTATCAAAATCAATATTAAGGTCGGAATTTCAGACAAATGTTATCGGCTAATGGATCTATATATGCATACTAATTAGGCTTGATTAAGTTTATGTCAAACCATTAACATTTGCTTTTACTATTCGAACTATATTTGTCAGTTTTTGCAATAACTCCAAGCTTTATTGCTTTTCCTTACTTGCAAAGTTGTAAAAAGGTTTATTTTATGGTCAGTTATTTGAACAATGTGTCATCATGGTGCTGCCATCTGTGAATGTCATTTTGGTGTATGTCATTTAGTGAATTTAGCCACTGAGCGTTATACAAAACTGGAGGAGCATTATCATTGAATTCCGTCGTTTGCATCCAAAGATGAACAGTCTCAAATAAACATTGTCTGTTCTTTATTTCTTTGTTTGTCAAAAGCATTTAGCCGGCGTGGCTAGGGGCATTTGAAGGTTATAATTAGCCCTTAGCATCTTAGCTCATTGGTAGCCAGCACTCTCTCCTCAACGAGTTACACTGTCTTGATTGCGGCAGAAGTAACAATGCAGGGCGCAGCAGGACGCATTGCAGCTTAATGAATTAATTACTCTTCTCCAATCCCCCGCACTCCATTCAAGGTTCATTACCTATACATGTTGTTAATTTCAACCGGTTTTTGTTTACATACGAAAGTTTGCGGTGCCTATATGCAAATACATTTGCAACCACTGCTAGTACAAGACTGTTTATAGAATGTTAGTGTAGACCATATAGAACTACGAAGCAGCTTATTTTAGCCTGAGCTTGTTAATTCTACGTCTAAAAGGCTGTTGACAGGTATACATTTCAAGTTACCATTTGTGTTATATCACCCTTTAAATTCACAGCAGGGCAGCTGGCATAGTAATTAGTTGGCTTGTCCGGGTGTTAAATTTCCTGTTTCATTCTTGCATTTATATGTTTATTTCCTTTTCCCGATTCTTGTTATGTCCTCTGACAGTATGCCGCTGTTTGGGAAGCCGAATTTCGACGAAAAAGTCACAAAGTTTTACGATCTGAAGGAAGTTCTTGGCACGTAAGTCGAATAAAATTGCTCTATATGTTTGTCTTTGCTGACAGAAGGATGCGGTGTTCAAATTATCAGAAACTTATATGCGTTTGTCGGGTTAGCATTTCAGAACTAAGTTCTTGTATGTACAAATATTGTATAAATATGTTGTTTTATGTTCGGTTTATTTACAAATTCAGCGTCTAAGCGCTACAGTATAAAACATAGCTTGAAAATATTTGTGAATATTATATTATTGTATATCTCACTTTATATATTTAGGCATTCTGATTTCAAGTTGTCAATTTTAGGATAAATATAGGCTTATGTTATTTTAGGATTATTAACAATTAACTAAAATACAGTAGCAATCTTTTCAAGGAAACATTTACAGTGGAATAGCGTGTGGAATTGATAATATAAAATAAAAGTAAAAAATTAACTAGACAGGAACACTCTACTCTGCAAGTAATTTCTCATTTCCCAAAATAGAGGAGCGTTTTCCGAAGTTGTCAAAGGAATAGAAAAGTCGACGGGCAAAGCCTATGCTATCAAATGCATAGCAAAGAAACAACTTAAAGGCAAGGAAGACAGTATAGAAAACGAAATAACTATTCTTAAAAAGTAAGTCATATATAAACAATATTAATTTAGTGCATTTCCGGTTCGCTAATATGTAATTGACTTTTACTGTAGTATACGTTATAAACTGTTACTGCAAAAATTCTGGCTGGCTTACGGTATAGTAATACTCTACAAATCTTCATATTATATCTTATATGATTATGTGTTTGTTATTCCACACTACAGACTGCCACAAGCACTAAATAGGACGGCTTGTAAATATAGAATTTTGCAATATATATTTGGAATATTAATTAGAACTTGAAATGTTGCAATTTAAAATTTCGAGTTCCACATTTGTTGCAAATTATGAATTTAGTAATTTTAAGCATTTTTTTCAGGAAAACTTATATATAATAATTCTTTTCTGTGTTTATATATTGTAATTAAATATTATCATTCTGCCAAATTTGTTTTTTCGTTGTGCCTCTGGATTGAGAATATATTTGGGTTTTTCAGCCACAGCAGGTCCCCGTTAGGTCCCCATTAGACCAAGGTTAGGGTCACAGGTAACGACTATGTTTAGGGCTTGGAATTTAGTCAAAACTTTGTTACACATATTCATGCAGCCGTATTAATCAAAGGTTTTCAGAATTATTGAAAGGGGGCCCCTATGCCCCCCAATAATGGGCCTGTACCTACATTAAACCTTGACCCCAATTTTTTTCTTTCTAGAGTTAATCATAAACACATAATTGGCATGAAAGAGTTATATGACAATAAAACGCATCTATATTTAGTTATGGACTTGTAAGTATAATGTTAATGTTAATTTTAGAAAGAATATATAGGTAACAAAATCACACACTTCTCTAATATTGACACCTCTCAAATATGTACACCTCTTTAATACAGGTACCTCTCTAAAAAGGGGCACCTCTCTAATACAGATACCTCTCTAAAATAGGGGCACCTCTCTAATATGAACACTTCTCTAATATGGGCACCTCACTAATACGGACACCTCTAATATGAATAATTTACTCTTTCCCCTCAGGAGTGGCATGGCCCATTTGGTTCCCATTATTTCAATAAAAAATGTGCCCATGCAATGTTTCACACTTTAACCCTTAAGTGACAATGTGCCCAGATGTGCCGTACTTTTTATTTTACTCTGTCTAATGCCAGATGATTTTACTTGTCAGGGGGAGAGTGCTGCTACTCAGTGGGTTAATAGAAGGTTGCCCTGTCATTCTCCCACCATTTTCCAGTGATCCAAGTTGGCCATAACAAAATCTTGTCCTCTTGGTGATTCATATTTGTTATTGTATTTTGCAGAGTTACTGGAGGAGAGTTGTTTGATCGTATAGTTGAAAGAGGTAGTTACACTGAGAAGGATGCCAGTGATGCTCTGAAGTGTATATTGGAGGCGTGTGCATATTTACATGAAGACTTAGGTGTCGTACATCGCGATTTAAAGGTAATGTCGCAGAATATGTGAATTAGTATTATGGATTATTAAGCAACCAACTGATTATACTAACATTTTTTTCTAGCCAGAAAATTTGCTCTATGAAACGTAAGTTTTGTAATTCTGTTCAGTTAGGCAGATGGAATTCCTGGATTTAGGACACATCTCTATGCACACATCTTGTGCGATAATTCTAATGTATTTCTTTATAAAAACTATATAAAACAGACACATCTTTAATATAGACACTTTGATATATATCTTCAGTGTCCATTTGGACAAACCTACATGACCATTGAACGACCCTACATGTCATATGTTCCTAAAAAGAGTTGAACTCTATTTCAGTGACGATGAAGATGCACGTCTAATGATCAGCGACTTCGGTTTATCAAAGGGAACAGAAGATGGTGTCATGGACACAGCATGTGGAACACCGGGATATGTTGGTTAGTGCTGTGTTTCTTCAGGGCCGCTGGAACCATGGGGGCTGTTTTCCTGGACAGCTGCCCCTGCTATCCAAACAGTGTGGGGAGAGCATGGTGGCAGCAAGTTGCCTTTTTTTACAAAAACTGTACCTCAGAAGTTGTGTGTATTCACATAAACTGAAATTGAGAACTGCTGTCAAGCAATTTAGCTCTAACTTGATTTAGCACTAGTAGTTACAGAAACTGTTGATAAGCAAAAATACTAAACTTACTTTCAGCACCTGAAGTTTTGAAACAGCAACCATACGGACCCCCAGTGGATTGTTGGTCTATTGGGGTTATTGCATACATCTTGTAAGTACAATAAAAGTTAGTATCACAAGTAATATTTAATCATCCTCTGGTACTTGAAAGAGTAAAACATTAAAATAGGGGCTGCATGCATTTGCGCCCATTGTCCGCTTCTTGAGATAACAAGAGACAATATGCATTTTGGCAGACTAAAAGTTGTACGAACTAGAAATTTTACTGCACACAAAGTTGTACGCAAAAATAGTTGTACACGCAAAGAGTACAATCAGTTAAAGCGTTATGTCGTGTTGAAGCTGGCGTTTTGATGAAAGAAATTGCGCTGCACATCACATTTGAAAGCGTTGTATGCAACAACCAGCTGAGCGTTTGTTCTTTCCTTCATTTAGATTGTGTGGTTATCCTCCATTTTACGACGAAGATGATTCTAATTTATTTGCGCAGATCATGAAAGCAGAATATGAATTTGATGAACCTTACTGGTAGGTGACGTAATAATAATAATCGAAATGACGATATATACAGTATACACTTTTTAAGACCTTGTTGGTTGCGGTAGGTTCTCTGGTAGGAATCGAGCCTCCGGTCCAACGATTCCAGTGCAGCGCTCTAACGAACTGAGCTACAGAGGCCTAACTTCCTGGCAGAGGACCTAGTGTGCATTTTTTCCAACCGTTCTTGGTTAGGTATAAAACGTGAAGTTTGAACCAAGTCAAGTGCAGAAAAGCTCTTTCAAGTTGCTGTCTGTTTACCATCCATTAGTTTATTCACTTGAAACAAATGACAATATGCACAATTGAAGGAAAGATTAAAAAATCTAATAGATATCATTATATTAATAATTTTCTTTGTGTTTTGGTTATAGGGATGAAATTTCAGAATCAGGTATTTATCAAAATCATTATCTTGGCCAATATCGCGTAGTCAATATCTTTATCATATGATGGTAATGGTGTTTCGAGTGAAATTCATTTTCTCCAAAACATTTCTTGCAGCGAAAGATCTAGTCAGCCATCTTATGGAACCAGATCCTGATAGAAGATTTACATGTAGAGAAGCTCTAGTCCATCCGTGGTAGGTGAACTTTCATCTCTGCCTTTGAAAATGTTTCCCAGCTTGATCTGAACTAAGACTCAACGGGAGCCAAACCTATCCTGATATATTTAAAGATTCTTACGCGATTTTTATAGGATATCGGGTGGTACGGCATCAAGTAAGGATATACATGGCTCTGTTAGTGAACAAATGAAGAAATCGTTTGCCAAAAACAGATGGAAGGTAATCCTATTATTTTTCGACGCGTAAGAAATATGTAACGTTGGGAACAATTTTGGCCGTTGGCGAGGCATCCTACCCCCATCACCCTCGAAAATTTGGGGCGTTTTTCCTCCCGTCCGCCTATGGTTGTTGGAATAACTTGTACCCGTGCGTTTCTCGTATGTTGGCAAGAAATTTAATACATTTTTTCCTTTCACTTGCAGCAAGCCTTCAACGCGACGGCCGCCATCAATCGAATGAAACTACTGGGAATCAAGTAACAAAAACAATCCCTCAAAAACTATCGAGAATTTGGGAAATTATTTAGAAACTTTTATTTCATAATTTCGTTAACCGCGCGCACAACGAGTTTTGTCCTGGGAATAGAGTTCAGTCCGTCCATCCCACTGAGCGTCGTATATATCTGGAGCGAGAACTCGAGTCCAAAGAGTGAAGCCGAGATAGCGGGAATGGACCATTTGCATTATAGACTAAATTTTGATCTAAACAAGTCCAGACAAAAATTTCACCACAGCTTGAAAGAGCATCACAAAATTAGTAATATTCCAAAGTTTCGTTGCGAAATGTTGTAAAATGCGGATAATATAGCCTTGCGAAGTTTGCCGTTTTTCAGTCATTTTGTATTACAAACGGGAAATTGACAGCCCCAAAGGGTATTGGGCTGTCAATTTCCCCCGCGTATTAGGCTGTATTATCCGCATTTTATAACATTTCGCAACGAAACTTTGGAATATTACTACTTTTGTGATGCTCTTTCAAGCTGTGATGAAAATTTTGTCCAGGCATATCTAGATCAAAATTTCACTCCTGAGGGGAAAGGTCTATTGAAGAGCTATTGAACGTCAGTTCCAGTCCCTTTCTATTGTTTTTGTCTGCGCGGTCAACACGAAACTGGCAAGGAGTGTACCGAAATTTCGTATTTTGACATCGATTTAAAAAATAACATTACACGGCAAAAAACACCGAGCCCGCTGCTCAACAGGACTGAACAATTAAACAATGTTTTGCTGCCCACGTTGTTCACACTTGTCAACAATATTGAACAATGTTGTTGAGCCTGAATTGGATGTAACAATATTGTTCAATATTGTTGACAACTGTGAACAATGTGGGCAGCAAAGCATTGTTCAATCCTGTTTTCATCAATATTGCAACAACCTGATCGTTTTTTGCCGTGTATGGTTGGACGTCAATTTCCACTATCTTCACTTCACTTCTCTCATTGGCCGAATATCAAAAGAAAGACGAATGAACTTCTTGTTCCAGATATGTATAGAGTACACTCGATTCATCCTCGTTCCCGGGGCTTCTTGGGAAGCTCTGAGAAGGAGGATGAATCGATTCATCCTCGTCCTTGGGCACTGGGAACGAGGGCAATGGCGTCAGCAGATACGTCATTTTCATGTCCGCCCTGGGGGACGGTTTAATTTAAAACCACCAATTGTTAGTAAATTTAGAGGGTTTATATTGTATACGCGAGTGTTCGATTGTGCTGTAGAAAATTTGTTGACAATAATTCAACCTCGGCGTTTGTGAATTCGCAATGTGTTCACATCTGTTTTAGTAGCAGACGTGTTGATGTTCTTCAATGCTATTCAAACACCAATACGGTTAACGAACAAATGAACTGACTGCTAATTGTCGATGACAAATAAATGGCTGTATTTGTCAAGACTATAGAGACCTTAAGATGTAGGACGGCAAAGCGATGACGACGGGCAAAACAAATTCATTCAAATAAAAATGATTGTAAAGAAAGCTTATCGTATATTATCAATCACATGAATTTAACACAACTTGAACAGATCAAAACAGATGCTTTCTATCGAGTAAAATTCCACATTAGTACTGAACCAATCCAAACTGTGAACCAATGGACCTATTCCCTAATCAACAGAATTCCCTAATCTAGACAAAAAATTCATCACAGCTTGAAAGAGCATCACAAAATTAGTAATATTCCGACGTTTCGTTGCGAAATGTTGTAAAATGCGGATAATATAGCCGTGCGAAGTTTGCCGTTTTTCAGTCATTTTGTATTGCGCACGGGAAATTGATACCGCTTTCTGAAAAAAGGTATCAATTTCCCGCGCGTAATACAAAATGACTGAAAAACGGCAAACTTCGCACGGCTATATTATCCGCATTTTACAACATTTCGCAACGAAACTTCGGAATATTACTAATTTTGTGATGCTCTTTCAAGCTGTGATGAAATTGTTGTCTAGACTTGTTGAGATCAAAATTTTGTTCATTAGGGAATAGGTCCATTTGCTGAGTGTCCACTTCTTACGTACTAAAATGCAAACGTTGTATACAGGACTTTAAGACAGTTTTCCACTTCAAGTTTACCGTACCGAAACGTATCAAAAACATTTTTAAATTTCCAAATTTAGTGAATGTTGATTGGTTAATACTTCTGTAGTACGCCAAAAAGTTGACTTGCGACCAATTTTCATTTTGATACGCGAATACACCCGGAAGTACGCGGATTTATCAACCTCTTTTCAATCTACGCATGCTCACCAGTACGTTACGGTTGAAGTGCAAAACTGGCTTAAAACTCTGCTTTACCCGTTGTAAACAGACCGAGGACGTCTAAGTCTTCCGTGGGATTTTAATTATTTCTTTTCTTAAATATGATATTAATTTCATCGTATTACTAGTCGTTATCACGTTGCCATCATAGATCTTAAGGTCTCTGGTGCTTCAGACCAACTGAACGCATTTCGCCATTCTATTTTAATTTTCTTCCTTTTTATTAAATATTTAAATTATCCTTCGTCCACCTTTCTTTTAATGTTCATCCCAGTCTTATGCCTGCTACTGTAGAGCGTGTGCATTCAACGCATGCTCATTTTAGGTTTTTCAATTCGCTTAATGCTGGAGTAATACGAGCAACAAAATTGCTGCAACTTGCAACAAAATCTGATTTCTACGCATGTTAATTGAAAATGTTTACACACATAAATTACAAATCACGAGGCAACACGTGTCAACATTTCTACTTAACATGCGTTGAAATCAGATTTTGTTGCAAGTTGCAGCAATTTTGTTGCCCGTATTACTCCACCTTTACAAGAGACAATGATGCAAAAATTTTGAATGCATATCCATTCAAAATAGGTCAAAGCAAAGGTAGTCAACACTCGCTTGTATATAATTCTGACCGCACGTCTATACCATATTTGTCGAATGACATCACACAACGAATACGTACTTGTTTCCATAGCAACACGTGGTGTTATCCTTTGATAACAGCAATGGGTCTTAGTTTGATCGCTTTCTTGCTGATCCCTGCCTCATGACCTGAAGAAAAAAATACCTACAATAATATTGAACGTAACATCGACAATGTGGACTGTTTTTGATGTCGTGAATATTTGACAAGCGTGTGAGATGTCTCGACTCAAAGTGTGAAGCAGTTAAATTTAAGGAAAAGGAGGGGTGGTAACAGCAGAGGAAGAGAGGGGGAAAAGTATCAGAACCTCGGTACCTAATTCTCACAATTTGTTTATAGGATCTGCATTAACCTCCACAGACTTAACTCGATGCCTAAATTACAGCAGAACATGCAGTTTCATAAAAAATATTCATTTGAAAATATTCATAAAGAATTTGTTTTTAATCCTGTAAGACTACTATCCTGTAACTACTATGATTACTTCAGTTATCTTGTATGCCTTGTAAGACATATTGCTTGACACTATAAGACAATCACATTAGTGAAAATTTTTTTATTATCCCTACTTATTGTAAATTTGTAATCTTTTGCAGAAAATTTTGAGGCTTAAACCCAGGTTCTTAGAAAGAAAAAAACATTTTCCACCTCTACAACTGTGCAACTATTTCTTGCGGGAAACAGAGGAGCCCCTTTGGATTTGAAGATACATGACACATGTACATCTGTTTTCATATGCTGCACTTCAGTTATTATACTGAGTCCCTGCGACAAAAACAGTTACGGTAAAATTGCATGTACAGAGTATTTAAAACTTACACGTATTAACCACATCCGTAACATTTTTGTACGATTCTGGAGCCTACAATGGCATAACGTAGGGCATTTAAATTACAGAGGTAAATACGTACCATACTCCGACAAATCTCCAGATATTTGCTGAAACAACAAGGGTTTTTTGAAGATGGAAAGAGTTGACACCATAGAACTTTTTTCAGATCTAACCAGAAGCAGATGCGATGAGCGAAATTTCCATCTTCAAAAACCCCTCCGACAGCAACCTCGTACCCACGCTCTTTCCACTACGCATATGGGAAAGAGCCTGGGTACGAGGTTGCTTCGACAGTTTATAGTTAAGTGAAATGGGCAAAATCCTGATATTTATTGAAAAACAATACACACAATTCAAGGAGATATTTCGACTCTTTTCATGGTGCCCCTGACACAAAAATTGATTTTTTGTGTATTGAAAGTACACATTATGTGGAGTGCTTTGGTGAAAGAATTTTTTGATTTCATTAAAAAGGAAAAATTTTAGATTTTATAAAGTATCATGTCGACAACAGAATCCGACAGTAGCGATCAGTCCGATGATTCCAGTGCGAATTTTATACCTGATTAATATGTTGTGTTGGAAGATGCTTATCTGTAGCGTCTCGCCAGGTCCCTGGTATTATCATTAAAACCACCAAATCTACACGACGCGGACGTGACGAAAAACTGCCGCTATTATCACAATTTCACTTCACGGGTAAAACTATGGATTGTTGTTGGTAAACAAAGCTAGGGACACGAGAAAAATAAAATAAAACTAGTCTCCCATTATTAACGACTGTTTTTTAGTCGCGTCTGCGTCTCAGATTTGGCGCATGTTAAGCTCCTTGCCTGGCTCTCTGCTAACGTAGATGTTCTATGACTTTGCAAGGTTTATGACCTTTGTCCAGTTGATAGGTCAAGCGGTGTCATAATTCATTATATTACTCAATTTATAGTCTCGAACAATGTAAACTAGTCATATATTTCGCCGAACATAACTTCGGCCCCTTTGGAAATATCTTTTTCGTAATAGTCTTATTCGAACCGGAATCGAAAACACTATTTAGAGTGTTATTTTCAAACTTGTGTCTTCAGATTTGCATCTTTTATTTCGGTATTACAAAATATTTATATTATTAGCGGGCCCGCAAAACCGAAATTGAATCATCAAAACAAAGCAAATTATCGTCAGTCTTTAATAGCTTCGGATAGTTAGGCTTGCCGAGCCCCGTCAACGAAAGACACGAAAAGAATCGCCTCTCGTAATCCTCTGGTCAAAAATGATCCGAGCATATAGTCGAAGTCTAGCTGCCTTTGACCTGTGCTTTGACGGCACAAACAAACGTTTTGCGGATACAAAACCAACCCATACTTTTCTTCGTCTTTTAGCTTCCGCGCGTTCGTTATTGAAGTATGGAATATTGTGTAAACTTATTCCATCTTTTAAACATGGTTTATTGGTACAGTTAGCTGCAACATAGTAAAAGGGCATATATTTTTCGATCACAAATCTAGTATATTTGTATATGGACTATATGCGCCAAGAGTTAGTACCAGTCGAATAAATTATAGAATACGCCGACTCACTTGCGTGACGTAACAAAAATCGCTCGTTCCAGTTTCCTTCGAACACGGAAGCGTGCCAACAAAAAGCCCACATTTTGCGTGTTCCTTTTTAATGAAATCAAAAAATTCTTTCACCAAAACACTCCACATAATGTGTACTTTCAATACACAAAAAATCAATTTTTGTGTCAGGGGCACTTTAACATAAAAAACAATATTAAAAATACAAGTAATGCATCGCAGTGGCATTACTTCCGCCAAATCGACAGGAAGCCCGCCACCTATAATGTAAACATTTGGTGACAAATAGCTTTTTCAATATGTCAGTATAAAAATAATAAAAACAGAATTTCTGCAATATTAATTTTGACTGTTTGTTTCTAAGAATATTAATAATTGTAAATAAAAGTAAATTACAGCAATGAACAAAACCTCAATTCGCAATAATCCACTTAATAGGAAAAAATATTAAAAAAGAAATGACAACATTACAGTAATACATCACAGTGGCATTACTTCCGCCAAATCGTTAGGAAGCCCGCCACCTATAATGTAAACATTTAGCTTTTTCGACATGTCAGTATAAAAATAAAATAGAATTTCTGCAACATTAATTTTGACTCTTTGTTTCTAAGAATATTAATAATTGTAAATGGTACACGAATGGAAGTTGTGTGAACTGTTAGCTGATTTCTGATAGATTGGATTCCAAGAACTTTGAGTCAATGTATAAGGTAACCTGAGTATCAGGCCCTTATGCTTTCATTCGCCAGGATCAATTGGCGGCGGCGAATGAAGGAGGGCCTGATACAATTCTTTACCGGGCCGCATATAAAAAGCCAGATTCTGGCTTTTTCGTCTGATTGGCCGATTAGACAAAAGATTTTTTAATCTGTCATTTGATTGGTTGGTGCTAATTAGATTATACCATGTCTATTGTTGTTGATATATTTTATAATGATCACAAATATATAAAACCAGGCAGCCCACTGAACGGCTGAATTTAAATTAAAACTGCAGTGAAATTATAAAATAATCACAAATTAGCGAAATATATTGGAAATGTAGCTTATATTAAATCGCCACCCGATTGCACTGTCGACGAACTGACGTATAGTTATAAAGTATATATAAGTATACTTTATAATTATACGTCAGTTCGTCGATGATGCAATCGAGTGGCAATTTAATATAAGCTAGGGAAGCCTCACATATCGATTTTGTCCATGAGAAACGTCATATGTTCGTTTCTCTGGAGACCCCCCCACCCCCCCACCCCTTAGAAACGTCACACATAGTTATCGATATTTTGTTCTTACAGTACACTATGAGTACACATAAGGTATAATATTCTACTATTTTTTTTCGGTCGGCTATTGGCGATGCTTCCGCGAGGAATATGTCATCTTCTGCTGACATACTCTTTTTTTATTAATATATATATATATGAACTTCAAAATTTCCAACGTTTCTCAAAACAACTTTTTTTGCATGAAATATTGATAATTTTAGCGCGTTTTTCTTGAAATTTGAGTGTTTTCAATGCATGGAAGGCGTAATAATATAAATGTATAGGTATAGAACAGGTATGGTATTACGAATATATAGACTGCTGTTTGTATCAAATTGTTTTCTTTTTTATATTCTGCAAAGATAAAAACTATCGAATTTTTCCATGATGTTTACAGAGAAACGTCACAGCTGCCAACCCCCCCCACCCCCAAACGAACATATGACGTTTCTCGTGGAAAAAATCTATATGTGAGGCTTCCCCTACCTTTGCAATATAGTTTGCTAATTTGTGATTATTTTTGTTATTTTTATAATTGACTGCAGTTTTAATTTAGTTCAGCCGTTAAACATTTCAGTAATCTATACTGTTATCAATATGTGTCCTCTATTTATAACTAAATAGTCCATACTAAATAATCTATATAATAGATACTATAATTTTCTAACAGTTTCCGAAATATTTTCTTGTCCTTTTCAGCTCGAATTTCGCAGGGCAAGTCATTATACATTCTTAGTGGGCTGCTAATTAGATTGTTGTTGTCGTTGTCACAGAGTCGTTGTGTGAAATTTAAATTTCTCCTGCGACATTTTGATTGGATACTAAATATAAACTTTGCTGTGGGTGCAAAGCGATCGGATTAAGGTTTGTGTCAGGCTCTATTTGTAAAATAGAGCCTGACACTCAGGTTACATCGCTATTTACTATAATTTACCACCAACGAATGTAAACACATACAGTGCACGTTTGTCAGGTCATAGTTTAAATAGTTCACGTGCTGATGTCAGGTTTATTTCTGTTCCTCCCTTTTTTCCCGCGCTCATAAACACTTCCGGTTAATTAATAAGTGGGCGGCTGACGACCATGTCAATAATTGTATCAGGCTTTATTTTTCTCGTCTTATCGCCGCCCGCTCGCCTCGCCGCCCGCGCCCTTTGCAGCGGAAGACGAGAAAAATAAAGCCTGATACTCAGGTTATGTATAAGGCGGAGATGTAAACAAGCGAACGGTCAACAATATTAAACACCTGGTATAAACTCCAAAAGTGGAACAGCTCAAAGGAACTTTTCGCATTCAAGGTATGTATATTTATGTTTTCTTCAAATTCTCTAAACTAAAGGCGAAGAACAATGATGTTTTAAGCGAGTTTATTTCAAGAGGTTTTTAGTCAAGCAATCGCCAAACAGTGATTTTTGCATATTTAATGAACCAAAGTTAACTCTTTCTCGTAGTGCGTGAATTTCTTTGCCCAAAATAAATTATACATTTCTGAAAAGACCAGTTTTCCAATAGTGCTTGTGCAAAATCTCATAAGATTTAAAAGGATGGCAAATGGAGAAATCTGTCACTTTTTACATGCAATGACAAACAGTAAAGATCAGTACCCGTCGCTCTTTATTGTGCACAAATGTGTTCAGTTGTTTAATTATCATAAAGCCACTATTAATAAACGAGGGAGTGATGTACCTTTAGCAGAAAGTATAATAAGGCTATTTGTATTTAGGGTTTGGATACCAGGATTAAGTAAACATTTCGATTGCGAAAATCGGTCCTCACAGCTAAAATATTTTTTGCTTTTATTTTCATAAACAAAAGAGTATTTTTAAAACTAACCACATAACGTTTCACACTTCACCATAGTCAACTTAAATTCAAAAGTAGAGCGAATTTAAAATTTTGAGCCTTGCCACATATTTCTCATTTTGTTTGGTTTTTGTAGACACTCGTTCTTAAACTCGTTTACACTATAAAGTTTTTGTCACGAAAATATACAATTGTTGTATGAATGTGGCATATTGTAAACACTGGACTGGACTAGGTTTGGACTGGACTTTGGACTGGACTTTGGACTGGACTTTGGACTGGACTCTTGACTTAAACGTTTCTTTTTAGTACAGTAATTTTTCGCATAAATCCCCATAATTATCGCTAGAAACAACGAAAAGGAGCTCGATAGGTCCAGTACAACAACTTACATCGTGTCTGCAAAATTATGCATGCTAATTTCATTCCCAGAGCGTGCCCGTTCGCAGGTTAGTGTGGGTTGTACGCATGCTCGGCAATTGTTGCAAAATATAAACAAAGTATTTCGAAAATTAGAATTTCTCGTCGAAAATCTGATACTTTTTTAACTGAAATCAATTGAAAACAACTAAAAATTCTGGGAGAAACATACACGAAAACTAGGATTGATAAAGATACAACTACCTGAAAAATACAAGGAGAACTTCGACGTTTCGAGCGAAGGCACTTCGACTTGTACTGTTATTGTTAATGTTTGTACTCGTATCATTATAAATATAATCTCCTCAACAACGAGATAATGTTTACTGTAAAGTGTGGCCTAACACTACGTATACCATAAATTCTGACAGGATAGTAAAATTTAACGAATTGCTATGTCACACTATGTCCGGCAGCCGGTCAATGTTTTGAAAAAACAAAATGTCCGGCAGTAGTGACTATAGTTCATTATAAAATAACCTCTTAATAACGCCTGCGCTGATTGGTTGAAAAGCGAAAAATCCCGTGTTTCTATAACGCTATAGAACACGGGAATTTTCCACGAACCTCAAAACAACACACTAGAACAAACGTTTTCCCTGAAATATCGATTAAAAATCTTCGTCAACCTGAAATTTTGTTAAACAAGCAATGGAAAGCACTTACCAAACGTTTTTTCGCTTTAAATTTTCTTTAAATCAACTTTTTCAGCCTGTTTTTTTTCTCCATAATTTTGCAGTCGGCAAAACAGAAAATTGATGCCGGTATTGTTGCTAGGCAACATTTTCTTGTTGTGGTGTAATGAGAATATTCCTTTTAATCGCGTGAAAAATATTGTTTTTGTGTTATTATCACAAGGTTATTTAATAAAGGAAAAAGAAAACATTTTTTGCTGTGTTTCTATAGAGTAATAGAAACGCTTGTGCTAGTTTGGGAGAACTCGAAATAACGTGGAAACCCTCGCACTACGTGCTCGTGTTCCCACTGATTATTTCTCGCTCTCCCAAACAAGCACGCGTGTTTCTATAACTCTATAGAAACACGGAAAATGTTTTCTATTTCTTAAATATAAAAACTTTTTTGCAGTAGTTTTTATCGAGCTTGCCATTAGCGCATTCGGCAGAGGCGCTGCGTGCGAAAAGTGAAACGCAGTCGGGGTCGGGATGTGTTTCGTCCGACTTATCACTGTTGTTTTTTCTTAAACTTTTTTCAACTTTTTTTCCAGCTTTTCTAACTCTTTTAAGGTTAAGGTTAGAGAATTAGGGTTTGGGGTTGGGATTGGTTTATCTTATAAGAATTCAACTTTAACTACAGTCACTATATATACTGCTGGACATTTAGTTTATTCAAAATATTGTCCATTTGTCCGGCTGCCGGACATATAGTCTGTG